CTGTGATAAGTTTGAAATAGCTAACATGAATTTACTACAAAGAATTACCAATTTTTTCCTACCTCTTTTGGGAAGATATAAATGAGAGCTAAGGAAATACTAACCATGAGGGCAGCTTAAGGCCAAACTAGGCTTTGTGAAGTTTCTTAAATAAAACTCTCAGATGCCTAGAAAAAAAAAAGATTTTCTCTTTAATTTTTGCCATTTTAATTACAGTGAGTCTTAGTGTGGATCTCAGATTTATCTTTTTGGGGATGTTCTTTTCTTGCTGGCATGTTCTCTTTCCCAGATAGCTGTAAGTTTTCAGCTATCATTTATTCAATTATCTGCCCCTTTTTCTCTCTCTTTTCCTTCTGTGACTCCTGTAATGTGACTGTTACTGTGCTTAGTATGGTCCCAGAGATCTCTTATACTATACTTCTGTTTTAGAATTCTTTTTTCTGTTCAGCTTTGGTGATTTCTATTACTCTGTCTTCCAGTTTGCTGACATATTCCCCTGTCTCATCTATTCTACTGTTGATTCCTTCTAGTATATTTTTATTTCAGTTATTATATTCTTCAGTTCTGTTATTTCTTTATATTTTCTAGCTCTTTAACTTCTCATTGTGTTCGTACATTTTCCTCCTGAGTTCATTAAACATCTTTATCATCATTACCTTGAACACTTTATCTGTTAGCTTGTTTATTTACAGTTCACCAAGTTCTTCTGGCATTTTATCTTGTTCCTTAATTTGGGACAGAGTCCTCTGTTCCTTCAATTTGCCTGATTTTCAATGTATTAGGTATATTGTTATGCTTTCTGATCATGGAGAAGTCACTTTGTACAGGAGATGTTTTATGGGACCTAGCAGCATACTCTTCTCTGGTCACCAGAGCTATATGCTCTAGAGTGACCCTGTGTGGGATGCTGGGCTCTTCTGTTATGATGGGACCATTTACTGTGGGCAGCTGGTAGGTAGAGCTGGTCCTTGACCTGGTTTGTTGCCAGGTCCTGCTTCATGCAGGGCTGCCAACCTGCTGGCTTGTGGGGCTAGGTCTTGATACGGCTGGCTGCATGGACAAGGATGTCTGGGGCTAGTGCTTGGCCCGCTTCCAGGCAGAGCTTAGTTCTTATGCTGCTGGCCTTTCAACCCAGAGGGCCCCAGGACTGGTGCTGATCTACTGGTGAGTATGGAAGCCCTTGGTGCTAACAAGCTAGAGAAAGACTCCAAAGTTGTGCTTGCCAGTCCCAATGTCACCGTGGTAAAATGAGCCCTCAAAAATAACTGCTGCCAACATCTGTGCCCTCAAGGAGAGTCCTTGCTGGTTCTTGCTACTCTGGGAGCCTCTCCAAGATCAGTGAGTGGGTCTGACCCAGGCTCCTTTAAATTACTGTCTCTGCACTGGGTCTCAGAATATGTGAGATTTTGCATGTCCCTTAAGAGCCCTGGTAGCTGAGTCAGTAAAGAATCTGCCTGCAGTGCAGAAGACCTGGGTTTGATCCCTGGGTTGGGAAGATTCCCTGGAGAGGAAATACCACTTTGGTATTCTTGCCTGGAAAATCCCATGGACAGAGGAGCCTGGTGGGTGACAGTCTATTGGGTCACAAGAGTTGGACACAACTTAGCGACTAAACCACCTTGGGAGCAGGGCCTCTAGCTTTCCCTTAAACAAGTCCCATTGGCTTTCAAAGTCAGACATTCTGGGAGCTCGTCTTCCTGGTGCAGGACCCCTGGGGACTGGAACCCAAAGTGGGACTTGGAACCCTTGTTTCTCTGGGGAGAACCTTTGCAGTTATAATTATCCTCCTGTTTATGGATCACCTACCCATGGGTGTGGGTCTTGACTATACTGCCTCTTTGCTCCCACCACCAATGTCACTATGGGGACTTCCCTTTAGTCCAGTGGTTAAGCATCCACCTCATAATGCAGGGGACATGGGTTTGATTCCTGGTCAGAGAATTAAGGTCCCACAGGCTGCAGGCAATTAAGCCAGGGCGCCACAACTACTGAGCCCATGTGCTGCAAAAAAGACCCAATGTCACTACGGTTCCTTCTTTATATCTTTGGTTGTGGAAAAATCTTTTCTGCTAGTTTTCAGGTCATTCTCATTGACAGTTGCTCTGTAAATAGTTGTAATTTTGGTGTGCCAAATGGGAGAAGGTAAGCTCAAGGTCTTCCTACTCCACTACCTCGGCAACACCTCCAAAGTGCTTGTGTTTTAAAACAATGTGAATATAGGAGGCTGTAAAGCTTCCATGACTAATCTTGGGGGTGCACATTTTTGGTGTCAGTGATGAGTGGTTGACAGGTCTCTTATGACTTCTCCTTCAGAAGAAAATGAAGCGTTTTCTGTACTCTTAGCACCAATGTTTCTTTTACTTTTAAAATGCTTTGCAAGAATGCAAGCCACTTCACTAAAAAGAAGTATGTCTTTTATGAGTTGCATCCATTTTAATGTTTACAAGGATCTCTCAACTAAAGATGCTGGCTAAACAGTACTGAATGTGCACAACTAATGGAACATCTTTTAACAGAGCTTTGCTCTGCACTCTCCAGTGACTCAGGCATTTTGTTAACTGCTGCTGTTGCTTTATAAGGACATTGTGAAATGACATTTGAAACTAAACAAAGGAGATGTTGCACAGTTTTAACTCCAAAATTTAAAACTGTCCCAAGTAGAGAAGGAAGGGTTTATATAACTAAATGACCATTTTAATGTTGAGCAAAAAGGAAGGAACTAAAGCTTATGCCCAGAGGAATTAAAAGGCTTCTAATCTGTTTAGGTATGATAACTTCAGGATAGAGGTGCCATGGTTCAAGCCAATAAGATACAATTGTAACCAGAATAACTTCATTTGTTTTGCATATGCCAACTCTATGGTCTATGTTTGATAATTATAAGTAACATGGACCTTGTTTACAATGTATTTAGATGGACAAAGTGTTACATTGATTGTTCTACACCTAAGTGAGACTCCAGGGAAATACATTTATCTGAAGATAGAAAACTGGATTTAGTGACAAACAATTTTGCACCTGCTGCTCAATTTTGCAGTTAGCACTTGATCAATAATCTTATTCCTGTTAGTTTCTTTGTTTATTCAACATAATACATTGGAGCATGACTCAGCATTCAGCACTCCATCATTGAAATAATTTTATAAGAAAGTTGGTTGGCAAAAAAAAAAAAGAAAGTTGGTTGGCAATGCAAGCTATATATGAGATTTAAAAATTCTTCATTCCATACAGTAAATATTTTTTCTACTTCTAGTAATTTACTGGTTTCATCTGTTACAGTTAAATACAGCTGGAATTTATTTTGGTATAAGGAGTGAGGTAGGGCTCCAACTTCTTTTTCCTTCCAAATTGCTAGTCAGTTATCTCAAAATGATTTAATGAAGAATGTAATTTAAAAAAGTCCATGTGCTCAAAATGCTATTAAAGTTGAATACTAATGAAATCTTGGAAAGAAATTGTGGAATGATTTTGTTTTCAGATGGTTTTATTCCAGTTAAGATGAACTCAAGGCTTAATGAGGACTTATAAAGAAACAGATTCAGGAACTAGTAAGAAACACCATTTTACCTACAAAAAATATAAGTTGAATGTTGGACAGCTAAAGAAGACAGAGTAATCAAGATAGTAGAAGGCACAAAATAATTTGAGAAATATAATTTAATCTGCAGAATGATAGCCATTTTTATGATCACAATGTTAAGCACTTGAGCAATCTGTACTTCATTTTCATAGCAAAGAGACAACCAGTGAAAGAGTTGATTTTAGGAATTTATTATTTTTTTTTAAAAAAAGCAACTTCCAAGGTTTGTCATTGTACACATTTAGCTCAGTCTTCTATAGCAGGTACAGCAATAACTGATCCTTATAACAATGACTCAGAGGCACTGAAGATTCATAATGTCTTCTGAATTATCACAGATAGAAGAAAGAATTAGAAGAAGAGTTTAATGTTAAGTGTATTTAAAACATCATATTCTAATTCTTTTAAATTGGTTATCCAAGTACAATAATATAGTAGAGTTCGGATAACTAGAAAACGCAACTGACTAGAACATCCCATGCCCATCTGATGTGCATTAACAGACTTTTTACTGCATATATCTTTATTATAGTTTGCAAACTAATTCAACCCACTTTTACACAGCATTAATTTCTTTTTGAGTTGGTGCTGGGCTGAAATTGTGGTACAATATGTCATCTGTTTTTTTTTTTCCCTAGTTCTTGGATGAATTTCCCTTATCTGACCTGGTGTTTGAACTTTAGTGTGTATGAGACTCCCAGATAGTCTCTGCCCATTTAAGATATATTTACAGTGAAGTTACCCACAGCCAGATATCCAAGACTATTAATTAATATGTCCACCAGCTCTGTTCTCGACTCTGGTAAAAGAGACATTGTGTCTCACTGGAGTGTGTGCCAAACTACAGGCCAGACACTGTGAGCTGGTCGTTAACAGAGCTAACCACTCAAGGTTCTTCTTAATGCTGTGCAAATAAGGGTCTCGTCATTTCAGTAACTATTTGTACATTTATAAAAGCAATACAGTCATGGGAAAAACCAACAAGCACAGCTTGGTAGAATAACCTGCCATGAAATTTCATTGGCCTTATAATAATTTACTACAACTGTTCCTTTTATTCACACTGGATAGGAAATGCTTCCATCTAACACATGGAATATGAATATATACAACAAAAAGTTGGTTTTTATTAAAAAAAAAACAACTTCGGGAGGACAATAATATGAGAGTTGAAAAAATAATTTTGTGCAGTTTCCTGATCACAATCATATGTCTGCTACCTTTTACAGGGAATGACCCAAGTACGGATAGACTTATAAACCAGTTAAAGAATTTTCCTGCCTGTAATAGCCTACTATTCAAATATTACCTTGTTCATACAGTATAGAAGTTTCTCCTTCTCCACTGTCCTTCTAAATGACTAGGGTTTACATGAAGAATCCGTTTTAAGGACAAACCCTGCTAATCCTCTTCAAAGCCATCATGTATTTGCAGTTCCCCATTTCACCAAAAAGTTTATCAAAACATCTTGGAAACTGCACAGGGGCTTCTGATTGATGTATGGTTGAGATCTTGAATGTTGCATTCTCACCTTATGCCTGCCGTCTTGGTGCACAATGTTAATTAACATCTTGGCTTTAACTTTTTGATGGCTGCAGTGAGCCAGGCGGCAGTGGTGTGGGGTGGACTGTTTTGTACCGCCAGCAGTCAAAACAGTGGCCAGGGGCTCAACGCCTCTAGGCTGTGAGCCTGGGAAACCCTTTTGCCTATGGAATGGGTCTCTGGAGTCCAGAAATGTCACTGCAGGTCGCTGCAACATTCAGACACCTGCTTCATGGAGGACTGTACTAAAGAAGAAGCCTAATGTTTTCAACATAGGTAATTTGGGCCAGGATGGGGGGCAAGGGAGGGAGCCCTGGAAAACACCTCTGATTTTAGCTCTATGAGGAAGCTGTGGGCATCTCTGGAAGTGGCAGGCTGGAAGAAGGGAGGGCCCAAGGTATGCCTGGGGAAGTGTCAGTTTGGTGTTGGCAATGCGTTTAGGGCCTGTAGCCCCTCACTAAGGCACTCTGCCTAGATCTATTTTCCCCTGACTCTACCTTTTATGTCCAAAGGTTTCCCCATCCCCCCACACAATCCTTGTTTGCTTTCTAAAGTTGAGATAGTGATTAGGGATCATTTATCTCTCAATTTTAACTGATGAGTGGTGGCTCTTCAGACTTATGGTGTGAAGATTGTGAAGGAATCCTGGGCTCATGGGAAGATGTGCTGTGATTGATTAGCAATGTCTGCCATGGCTACAAGCGTTGGTGTGTATGCAGTACATGCTGGGTCTTATGTCTCTGTTCTAAGTGAGGTGAAAGAATGAGACTGGCTTGGGGGGTTCTTGCAAGACCTTTGGAGACCACAGCCCAAAGCACCAAGTTTGCATTTACTTTAGATTCTGCTTTATTCTCGAAAAGATTTAAGAGTTTTAGGACTTTTAAGACCTGTGGAAAGTTGGAGGGGGAGGTAATTTTGAACAGGCTGGTGCAGCAGGCCCTGAACAATGGCTTCTGCTTTCATCCTTGGGTGATGAAGTCTAATGTTTAGAAAGTGATTATATAACTTACTGGTGACAACAGATTCAGCAAGACTTGGAGGAGTGGAGTGATTCCCAGGCATTGTGGGAATTTCAGGCAGCTGATAGTATTTGTCAGTGTGCTGAAAAGCCAAGGAGAAATACATTTGCACCAGCTTTTTTGGGTGGATATATTCCTTAGTATGTCGGGACTATTGTCTCTCAGCTCTACCTAGAAGTCTCTGGTGCACAACTTCATGAAGAAAGAAAAACAAAATCAGTGAAATTGTGTGGTAGGTGCTAGTGATGAAATTTTGGGAAGATCAACTCATATCTGTCTCTGGAAAATAGTATCAATCACTTCTTAATATCTCAAGTGATCTACATTGAAGCCAAATCTTGATTTTTCTTTTAACATAAACCATTAGCAGTTGCTCTTCGACAATGCTATTGTCTGTTGATTTAGGGGCCATGTTGGGCCAAAGCCAGCCACCTCTAGCTGCTGATGGCCTATGAGCTTTAGAAACTGTCCGATGCTCCCACCAGTACACGCCTGTCAGTGCACACACCTGATTTCACTTACACAGCAACATGGCAACATACCTTTTCCACCTGTGAACAACCACCCTCTTCCTCACTTGGAAACTGGGAGAATTTGGAAGGAAAATAAAGTATATCTTTTTATTCCTCTGCAAATCCCAGAACACGCTTTTGGATACCTGTCTGATGTTGAGTTTCTTGTCACAATGGGGACCCCAATCTTTCCCCAAAGTTGTAGGTGAAGGGTTTTGACCTTCCTGGCTGGCATGGAGGATTCCTTGGTTTGTAGGTCTAGGGTCAAGAGATGGAGGTGGAGTGGAAGAGGGAAGGCAGCACTGAGCAACCCAGCAATATGACTTCTTATCTGACGCTGCATTTCACCCTCAGAGAAATGATTTTCATATTGGTCTCCAGGAGACCCAATCCCACTTAGAGCATCTCAGCAGTTTCACTGTCTCTGGAACCTTCTAGAGATGATGGCTGGCTGATGGCTATAATTGTGACTGTAGTTGCCTCATCACTGGTTTTCAGGCAATTCAAAATTTCAATTTCTTTCCGCTGATCACAATTGTTGGTGTATTGGTGTTACAAATTTTTATAGTGTGTGAATGTCAGTGGGCGTTATCACCACTCTTTTCCAAAGTGGAAGCCTCCTCTAACTGAAAAGACTTGTTCTAACACCACAGAGGAGCCTCCTCCCCAAAGTTTCTGAGAGAACCCAGAGCATGAACTATGGGTTCTAGACAGAAGGTCTGGGAGGAGGTCGGGAGGGGGGTGGCGCCCTGTTGGGAGGGGGAGCCTGTGGAGGAGGGGGGAGAATAGAAGGTGGGGATGGAATTGGAGGGGTGGGGGCACTGGGAGGTGGGGGAGGGCAATGGGGAGCAGGGGGTGGTGGGGTGTAGATGGGGGCAGGAGGCGGCGAGGTGGTGTGGTAGGCATTGTTGAGGGGGTACTTGGCAGGTGGATTGTTCTTGACTCTGGTGAAGTTGATACAGCGTCCCTGAAAGAGAATCAGAGAGAAAGAAACATTAGGACCAACCTAGACAGCATATTAAAAAGCAGAGACATTACTTGGCCAACAAAGGTCCGTCTAGTCAAGGCTATGGTAGTCATGTGTGGATGTGAGAGTTGGACTATAAAGAAAGCTTAGCGCCGAAGAACTGATGCTTTTGAACTGTGGTGTTGGAGAAGACTCTTGAGAGTCCCTGGGACTGCAAGGAGATCCAACCAGCCCATCCTAAAGGAGATCAGTCCTGGGTGTTCATTGGAAGGACTGATGTTGAAGCTGAAACTCCAATACTTTGGCCACCTGATATGAAGAGCTGACTCATTTGAAAAGACCCTGATGCTGGGAAAGACTGAAGTCAGGAGGAGAAGGGGGACGACAGAGGATGAGATGGTTAGATGGCATCACCGACTCGATGGACATGGATTTGGGTAGACTCCAGGAGTTGGTGATGGACAGGAAGGCCTGGCATGCTGCAGTTCATGGGGTTGCAAAGAGTCGGACACGACTGAGCGACTGAACTGAACTCAACTGAGCTGAGCTGATGTTTGCTGGGGTCTTACAACAGGGCGGGTGGGAAGTGCTGGGGGCGGGCAGAAAGAAACCCGCGGAAAGCAGATGCTTTCTGTCAGTGCTCTTAGCAGAGCACTGAAATAGAACCTGACAACAAATAAGCTCCCCATTTCCTTCTGAGTTAACTCTTGGGTAGATTGATAAAGAGTCCAGGGCCCTCAAGGAGGAGAAAGGGGTCTGGGGCTCTCAAGGAGGTGAAAAGGACAAACTTTTTTTCTACATTGCTTTGTCTTAGTCACATAAAATGTTATTTTCTTTAAGCCAAGAGCTAAAGATTACAGGAGAAAACTCATCTTGCTCAAGGGTATGTTTTTCCTTAAGCCCTGTACTAAGGATTATATAACAACAATGTATCTTGTTGAAAGACATGTTTCTCTTTTTAACAAGAACCTTCTGATTAATCTTGTTATCTTAAGATGTCTGTTATGGGAGTGGGTCTGGTAAAAGTATATAATGCCTTGATAAGACCCAGCCAGTGGGGGCACTCTCCACCCCCTTCTGATGTCTATGTCAGAAGCATTCTCTGTTCTTTGTCACTGTAATAAAACTTCTGCCACAGAAAAGCTCTGAGTGTTCAAGCCTGGTCCCTAGTCCTGAAGCTAAATCTTCTTTGGAGATCATGAATCTGACATTGTTCACCATAAGCTATCATCTTGGGGGCTTTTAAGGGGATTAAGCTGCCAAGGGAAAGGGGCAGCGTTCTCGTTCCATAACTTCTTCGAGCTGGTAAGGGACACAGACCCTAAATTGTTGAGGCCAATACTATGTCATAAAATTATTTGTTCAACTTCATTTCCCCCCCAGATTCTACCAAGGGTGTGGAAGAGTAGGGGACTGGATGCACAGGGTCAGGGCAAGTACAGAAGTCATTGAATTTAATCTCCTCAACAGCCTTGCCAGGCAGGTATCATTATCTGTTGTTCTGTTTCACAGATGAGGGAACTGAGGCTCAGGAAAGTTAAACCACAGCTAGGAAGAGGTGGGTTTACTGTTACCAGTAGATGCAGCCGCCTGCTCCAGGCCCCTGCCTCCCCAGCGCTCTGACATGGACAGTTTATCCTGCTTTTGCTTTGGCTGGGGAAGCCTTCTTCTTCCAGGTGCTGTGGCACCTGCTCGGGTGCCCTTAGATTCTTAAGAAATACAACCTGGGACCTTTTATTGCAATGCAGGCATCTACTCTGAATTCTGCCTTTTCGCCACCCTTCCCAGGGACCCGGCTGGATAATGCAGAGCAGACACCTGGAACACCTACAACTGCCTCCTCAAAGTATGCCCCTCCCCCTGGGGCGCTTCCCCTCTGCTCTTTGGAAGCAGACACCCATCAGCTCTATTCCCTAAACACTTTTTTTTTTTTTTAATGGGAGGATAATTACAATATTGTGGTGGTTTTTGCCATACATCAACATGAATCAGCCATGTGTACACATGTGTTCCCCCCATCCTGCACCCCTCTCCCACCTCCCTCCCCACCCCATCCATCTGGGTTGTCCCAGAGCACTGACTTTCCATGCCCTGCTTCATGCATTGAACTTGCACTGGTCATCTATTTAACATATGGTAATACGCATGTTTCAAAGCTATCTTTTCATATCATCCCACCCTCTCCTCACACAGAATCCTGAAGTCTGCTCTGTACATCTGTGTCTCTTTTACTGTCTTACATATAGGATCGTCATGTTCCCATCTTTCTAAATTCCATATAAATGCATTTATACAGTATTTGTATTTCTCTTTCTGGCTCACTTCACTCTGTATAATAGGCTCCAGTTTCATCCACCTCATTAGACTTGACTCAAATGTGTTCCTTTTTATAGTTGAGTAATATTTCAATGTGTATATGTACCACAACTTCCTTATCCAATGGACCAGTTAGACCTAATTGATAGCTACAGGGCATTTCACCCAAAAACAATGGATTTCAGTTCTATTCTTAATAGGTGTTTGGGAGCCTTCCACTCAACACTGGGCTCCGCAAGGGATGGGAGCACAGGGCCTCTCCCCCTCATGAAGTCTTCTTTTCATATGTGGAGCAACCCCCTCCAATCACCTTTCCCATTCGACCCTCCCCCGCCTGTCTGGGCAGGGTAGTGGCCACCCCTGTGGGCCCTGGCCTTTTCCCAAACTTCCCATGCCCATGGGG